GAAGGCCAGTGGATATTGTAGAGCTGCCACGCTGGGGAGGCCTCCTGCCCAGGTTGACTAATACCCTTCCCCATGGCCACCTCAGGTACAATGACTTCCTCCACGACCCCCTGTCATGGTGCAGTGCCTGCAGCCCCCAGCCCAATGCAGAGAATGCCATCTCGGCCCGTTCGGACCTCAACCCCGCCAATGGCTCCTACCCTTTCCAGGCCCTGCGCCAGCGCTCCCACGGGGGCATTGATGTGAAGGTGCGGCACCCGCCAGGGAACCTGGGGGCCTGAGGGGTGTGGGTGGGGGGGTCATCACCAGTCCTGGGGAGAGATGGGCATGGCAGCTGGACTCTGAGCAGATGGTGGGACAGGGGGCAGGGTCAGAGTTGGACCTGAGATAGAGATCAAGGTTAAGGTGGAGTCAGCTTTACAGTGGGTGCAGGGTCCAAATTGGGCTCTGGGATAGGATCTAGGTTAGGGTGGGAGTCAGGACCAGAAATTGGCTCAGGATTGGGGCCAGAGCCTCCCCCTGGGTTGAGCAGTCCAGAGCCGAGCCTCACCGGTGCTGTTACCTCCTCTGTCATGGCCCTAGGTGACCAGCTCAGCCCTGGCCAGAGACCTGCGCCTGCTGGCTGTCAGCGGCCCCACGTGGGACCAGCTACCCCCCTTCCAATGGAGCACCTCGCCTTTCCACAGCCTGCTGCACATGGGCCAGCCCGACCTCTGGAAGTTCCCGCCCATCGAGGTCTGGTGGGACTGAGGCCTGTCCACTGCCCTACTGCCTTTTGCCTGCTGCCCCTGCCAGGGCCGCGCCACCCCACCAGCCGCCTTTCTTCCTGCCCCACCCCCTTCTGGGGCCTCACTACCTGTTGCGCCCCGAAACTACGTCTACCGGGTTCGCTGTTGTATGGGTGGTCTCCTCCAAGGGTGCGTGTACCCCAGGGAGCCCAGAACTGACACACCCATTCTCCCTGAGGTGGGTGAGTGCTGTCTCCGTTGGCCTCCACCACTCTGTGCATCTGTTTCTCACTGTGTCTCTGGCTCTCCCTGTCTCCCTCTCTCCGCATTCATGTCTCCTGTCTCCCTCTCTGCCTGTCTGTCTGTCTCCCTCTCTCCACATCCATCTTTCCCTGTTTCCCTCCCTCCACCACCATATCTCCGTCTCCATCTCTGCGTCTATGTCCCTGTCTCCCTCACTCCACATCCATCTCTCCCTGTCTCCCTCTCTCCATCTCCGTCTCTCCCTGTCTCCCTCTCTCCACGTCTGTCTCTCTGTCTCCCTTTGGTTCTCTCTGGCTCTTTCCCATTCTGGGGTCCTATCCTCATGGTACCCCCTCCTGAGGGCTGGGAAGGTCCCAGGATCAGGCTCGGGTCCCCAGTGGGCAGGAACATCATGGGGTTTTGGGCCTCGGCTGCCAGGGGTAGGGTGTCCTCTCATGCTCCCAGCCCCACTGCTCTTTGGGGCAGTGGGCCCCCTGTCTCTGCTGGGCAATTTTCTCAAGCAAGAATCTCGAAAACAAACAAAAACCAGAGTTTCTGACAATGAGCAACTGGAGGGCCTGAGAGTTCTCCTCTCTCCTGGGGGCTACAGGAGTCAGTGCACCCGCGTGTGTCCACCGGCCCATCCCTGGCCTGGCCTCAGGCCCTCGGCTCAGCTCCCCTGCTGTGGGAACATTAAAGAACAGGCCGTGGCCGTGGCTGTGCTTCTTGGGGTAGCGGGGAGGCCAGCTCGACACCTTTTCTCCTCTCTGATGTGAGTTACACGCCATCCAGCCATACATTCCTGGTCTAACTATCTGCTGTCCCATCAGTCTGATCACCTGCCAGCCTCTCCACCCGTCATCCATCCTTCCACCCACTCATCCGTCTGTCTGTCCGTCCATCCAGGTGTCTGTTGAGCATCTGTTGTGCTCTAGGTCCTGTGCCAGGCCCCTGTTGACCACCACGACCTTCAAACCAACATAAAACAGGGTACCCCCCCCGCCCCACCCCCGCCCACATGGAGCGTCTATTGCAGATGAGACATACCCAGTGCTGGGTGCTTGGGAGAGGAGGACACAGGAGCCCTGCAGTCAGAGACCTGGGTTCTAATCCTCCCGCTACCTCTCAGTAGCTGTGGGGCTCAGCTTTTCTGAGCCTCGGTTACCTCGTCTGTGAAATGGGGTAATGATGCAAACTGCGCTCTGTTGGGAGTGTGGTGAGAGCTCCCTGCCGTGACGTGGTCCACACGCTGCATCCACCAGCAGATATTGGCTGGACACTTTGGACACACTGGGTGCTGGTACCAGGTACTGTGGGTACTGCCGTGAACAAACCCCTGCCCTTGTGAGGTTTACATTCGTGTCGGGGAGACAGTAAGGAGGTTAGATAGATAGCCAGCATGCTGGGTGCCGAAACGGGGGCTGGAGACAACGAAGCCAGGCTGGCCCTGGAGGAAGCTGCTCACCCCTCCCTGCTCCCTGCGAGTTGGTAACTTGTGGTTTTCACAACCAACTTTCAGTTCCAGCTTCCCGAGAATGCTTTTTGTGCCCCAGTCTCTTTCTGATGCAGACAACAGCCCTGTTAGGTGTGAGAGGCTGTGGTTCCGTGGGTGAAGAAACAGGCTGGGTGGAGGGAAGTAACTGGAGCCCAGGCCTAAGGACTCTTCTAGGACCCAGGAATTACCCCCTCCCCCCATGGCTCCTTGTGACGTTGCAGGTCCTGGCGGCCCGGTGGTCCCCACGCATTGCACACCTACTGTGTGCCAGGCATGGCATCTTCACAGCCACGCCTGGGGCTGGGGCCACAGAGGAGGAGGTGGGGAATCGGGCCAGTGGTGGGACTCGTCCAGGGTCTCTGGGAAGGGCCAGCGGAGCCTATTCACTAGGATGATTTTGGATGCAGCCGGAATGCTCCTTGGAAGCGAAAATGGCCAGACTTTGGCTCACTTAATTTGATCATATTATCAGAAGGGACCATTCCCTAGAGAAGGATATCATGCCTGGTAAGGGGAAGGGTCAGCAAAAAGGGGGAGGCCCTCAATGAGATGGATCGACACAGTGGCTGCAACGATGGGCTCAGGGGTGGCACGTATTGTGAGGCTGGCGCAGGGCCCGGTGGTGTTTCGCTCTGATGTACGTAGGGTTGCTATGAGTTGGAGACGACAGCACCTAACGATAATAACTGCTCACTGGGGTGTGGGGACAGCAGGAGGCCAGGCCGACTCTGAGCAGAGTATGGCGGTGCCATGCATGGTCCCCCAGTAGGGCTTCAGCCGGCCCAAGAGCCTCCCACAGTCCTGAGATTGAAGATGGCCGCCGTCGGCTCATCCCTGGCTCTGCCCTTCCCTGAAGACCACCCTGCAGTACCCAGTCCCTCCTCTAGGGGGCAGACGCACCTGCTTTGCTTGGGAGGTTGCACACCTGCCTAGGCAAGTCAGTGGCAGCTGGAAGCGGTCTTGGTTTTCCTGAACTGAGTAATACTTTAAAGTCTCACACTCCCCACGAGGATTGGATTCGCCTGTCCCCTCCAGCCCTTCCTCAAAGCCCCAGCTCACAGCTTACTGGAGAGCCACATGCCGTGCACTGTTAACCGTCCTGACAAAACTGGTCCCGAGGCTTGTTGCCGGTGTGGGTTTGGGTGAGTTTCCACTCACTTCCTGAAAGCTTGCAGCCCCTGCTGTTTTCAGTTGGGGGCAAAGTCTGCAAGACTGGGTGGCACACATGGTTAACGTGCTTGGCTGCTAAGTGAAAGGTTGACAGTTCGAGTCTACCTAGTGGTATGTCAGAAGAAAGACCTGACTCTGTGCTTCTGAAGAAGCAGCATGGAAACCCTGTGAGCTCAGCTCTGTCCAGAAGCACCCCGGGTCGTCTGCCCTGGAATCAGCAGCGCCTGCTGTGTCCCCGAGGGCCTTAGAGTGGTTTTCAAACTTGGCTAGAACCTGGGGTGGGGTTCTAGAAAATGTCCTGGGGGCTGCTGTAGGTGGTAAAGAGACATTTGTGAGTGAGTGTGGGGTCTTTGCATCCCAATACCCACCTCTTTTGTACCATGGGCTCAGCATTTGCTCATTGGAAGAGAGGGTTTTGTGTTTGAAGGGTGTTTGCAGACACTGACTTTAAGCCCTCCTCTCCCCGAGCTGGGTGTCTAGGTCAGTTTGCACACCCCCAGGAATGGAGGGCTCAGTAGTTGTACTCACAAGTTCTGTGGTTCTGTCAGAACAAGGGCTCCTCTCTAGTGGATCTCCGTTTGGTGGTGCAGCCTCGGTCCCGCCCCAAGCCCCTCCAGTTCAGTTCCTGCAGAGACGCCCCCTCCCGGCACGCAGACCCCATAGAATGGCCTCCTGGCCTCTAGGTCTGGCCCTTGAGTTTCCTGTGCCACCTAGAAGGCTCAAGGGCATGGCCAAAAGCCAGCATGAGGGGATGGAAGGAGGAGAAGGGGACACGATGGAAGAACTCAAAGGAACTACGTTTCATAAATACATATTTTCTTTGTCAATGAAAAAGTTTGCACATTGGAAAAATGAGTAAAAGTGGGATTGGGCTTCTGAGAGGAAGGACGAGATGGTTCCTTGACCCTGGATACCACCAGAAAGCCTGAGGTAGGCTCCACTTGCTTCAAGAAGGCCTAGCCTGCTGTGGTCCGATCTGTCCCCATCCACCCTGCTCCAGGCACCCAGGAGAGGTGGGGTCCGCCTTTACAGAGGCAGCCAGCTTCACCCAGCTCCTCATACTGGGAGTTTCCCACAATCCTTAGCTTTAATATGGCAGCCACGCGCTTGTATGTGGGTGGTTGTCACTCTAGCAGCGGTGGCTGAGGACAGTCACAGAATGGCCACACATACCAAAGAAGCTAAGAGTGGCCCTTCACAGCCTCCATGCGGCTCCTCGGGGAGCCCTGGTGCCTCCTCACGCTGGGCTCCTGACGGCCAGAAGGCTCACACCAAACAAAACACTATGTACATTGAGGCACTGGCTAAAACTCCAGCCCCTTCACAGGTGTTCCGGGCTGGGGGGTCCAGTAGGTGAGGCCTTCTCACTTGGGCAGCCCGTTCTTCATGCCCAGCTGTTCCTTGAGGGCCCGCAGCTGGGCCAGGCTGATGTTGCTGCCCCCGCAGACGATGACCACGACCGAGGCCAGCGGGGCTCGGAGCTTCCCCTCTCCCTGCAGCTTCTGGATCACGCGGCTGTAGACTGCGGCCAGGGCTGCCCCACAGGCGGGCTCCACCAAGATCTTCTCCTCATCTGCCAGAGAAGAGCAGGGGAGGGCTGTGAGCCAATCAGAGCTCAGCCCCGGGCCAAACCTCCCGTCATCCCCCAGATCCACCTTCCCAGCCCTGAGCCTGACCTAGGTTACAACTTGAGTGCTGCCGCTGTGCAAATGAACATAACCGCCTTAGCACTGTGTTAAGATGGATTCTGAGGCATCCTTTGAACAAGAGTACCACGGTTAGCCAAGTTGGCAGTGGTACGAGAGAGTCAGTGACAGCCTAAATAGTTTTCTTTGTTCCTTTCTTTTGGCCCTGCCCTAGGTTGATCCCAGAGTGGAAGTTTCAACCTAGCACAGCCCCATCTCTGACTCTAACTCAGCCCTGTGCTTTCCTTTATTACCCTGGCTTCCCAGCAGCCCAGAATCAGCACTGCCCGGCCACCTGGTAGTCAGGATGTCCTCACAGATACCAAATGGAATGTGAGGTCATGGCTACCAGACTGCTTCATTGTGGCTTTGGTCTAACTAGCTTTATCACTACATTGTATTCTCTCTCCTTAATGGGGACGTTTTAGACAAGGATGGGAGACAACTCTGAGGAAAAGCTGAGGTGAATGGAATCCCTTGGCACACAAGCTGGCCGGCCACCTAGATGAGGTGGCAGGAAACTGAAAGAGTGGCACATACCCACAAACTTCTCAATGGCAGCCACAGCCTCCTGGTCTGAGATAACTTCAGAGAAAATGGGGTGTTCCCGAAACAGCTTCAGGGTCTGACTTGCCACGGTCTTCACACCCAGGGCCTTGGCAACACTGGGCAGAGGAAGAGGACAGGAATGGGGGAGCCAGGGAGAAGGGAAAGAGGGACCCAAGGATGGTTAGTGGGAGTCAGGAGGCAGTGGGTCAGTGGACGGGGGGATAGGACGTAACGCCTGCAGGTGTAAGGCACTGAAAAGCCCCAGGGGCTCCCCCAAACAGCAGTGGGGGGGGGGCTTCTGATGAGGCACAGATGGTTTGAATTTGGGTAAATAGCATCATATTCTGCATAACATCAACTCCAAAGTAAATGCCTGAAAAGATCCCAGAGAGGACCCCTGCCTTCGTTCCAGGTTGCACCCTCTGTCTAGAATGCCCTCACAGCACTAGCACTGCTCTGTCGACCCAATCCTGCCGTCCTCAGGGTCCAGGCCACCTCCTCCAGGGAGTCCTCCAGGGGAGTACTCCATCCTCTGATCCTGTGTGGAATTCTCAAAAAGCCCATCCCTCCACCACCACGCCCATAGTAATAACCATAGTGACAACTTCTTGAGAAAGTATTAGGTGCCAAGAATTCCACAAGCATTATGTAATTCTC